AAAAACAAAGGCATTTTATAGCTGGTATACCATAGGTATCCCTGCAAAAAGGTATTTAAAAAAATGTATTTGTAGCTAACATTCTCTTTTTTTTTGAAACGGTTCTCAAGGTTTTTCTATGAGGCATCAAAAATAGCACTCTTTTTAGAGGGAGAAAATGCATCTCGAATGAAAATGTCGCTTTTTGTCGTTCTCGTGGGTCGAGATGAAGCGGATAAAAACTATCAACTATTGTAGCATTTAACATCAATCAATTGAAACCACGACACTCCGACCCCCGGGGAAAGTAACATTTTCCTAATGTTAAAGTGACGCTTTTTCCCGGCCCTCGGGACAAAATGGCTGTTAAGGGACCGGTCATTATTTATCGCCTGGGGGGAGGGGGGATGGGTGCGGAGGATTTTTGTTCAGACACAGTGAAACTTAGCAGATCCCCCCTTTCAGCAGAATACATTGTAGTAATCCCCTCTCCTACCTATTGATAATTTCAGTGATCCCCCCTTGTTGATCCCCCCGTTTACATTTAGACCCTTTGCTGTAGCTATTAGCAAAGTACATATTCAGCGATGATGTTTCAAAGAACCTAGAAGAAGTAGTGGCCATGCCAAAGCCAAGTGGTCCTGAAAAGGTGTTGCAAGAGAGTTCTGAAACCGACGACGATATTGAAGGCAGAAGGTGCTGACAGCGAAGAGGAGGCAGGGTCAAACGAATTTATGGAGTCCGATACATGTGAGGGAGCTGAACTATCCGAAGATATCGCAATTGTTGAAACTAATTATGATCCACAGAGAAAGACGATTTCAAGCCAGTGATCACTTTGTAAAATACAATTTTCAAACATCGTTGCTGTTACAATTATGATTCAAATGGTATGTTTTATTATTTTGCAGATTGTTGGCTTATAGAAAACGTTCAAACAATTTTAACTTTTCTGCCAAGAAATTAAATTACTATATAAATTAAAAATGAATAGATATTTAAATGAATGAAAGAAAGAAAGAAAGAAAGAAAGAACGAGAGAGAAAAAGAAAGAAGATAGAAAGATATCAATAATCTGTCTTGTACTTTTTCACTTTTTCACAAAATAATGTTTGGTATCCCTGTGGTTACATCCGAGCCCTTACACATAATGACCCTTCAATACCTTCCATATAATGGACCTTGCATACCGACATACGATCCAAAATGGCGGATGCAGAAAGCAAGAAATTCCGTTCAAAACGAATTCGTCTTTCTCCTGAGAGAGAAATCGAAGGTCTTAGCCCCCCTAAAGCTTCAAAAAGTGATAAAGAAGGAGCAATAGTCGACGAAGAGCCAATTTTGTCTAATTTTAGCGTCTTTCAAGAAACTAGTTGTTCGTCACGTGAACATGATGGCGGCAATAACGAATTTTCAAAGCACGAACAATTCGACGGGGATGACTTCCCAAGCTGTTTTAGCGTAGAAGATGACATCGATAATATCGAAGAACGTCATTACCAGCCCATAGCAGGTAAACTTCAAACTTAACCTTGTTTAACGAGAGTAATTGGAATATTTTCAACTCGCTGTCGGCAGCCATGTTTGTTTTTGTTTTGTTAACGAAATGTCATTTTACGAAATCCTGTTTTTGAGCCAATAATGCAATGAATAAAGAATAAATGTGAAGTATTAGTTATTAGAATATTTGGGGATGTCAAATTGCCTTCCAGTTCGAAAATTTTGAAGGTTTTTAAGGCAGTTTTATAAAAGTACTGTACATCTTAGAAAAAATGAAGGGGGAGGGGAGGTGACTATGAACGAAAATCGTTTTAGGACTCATCAAACCACATCCAGGGTTAGAGTAATTTTCTTATTAAGCTTGAAATTTGCTACTGAAAATTACCCTTCATATTCATATAAAGGTTACAAATCATTGTGCTTATCATAAATATACTCGATTCTGATTGGACAAGAGGAGTACAATTAAATCGTTATTTTACTCTTTAGAGTCTAAATTAAGTTGCTCAATTTTGTTTAGTGCTTCTGAACTAAAAATCGTACAATCTTATACAATCATTTGGAATTCATAGGTGCTTCTCTTTTTTGAAAGTTCTCAAATTGGACTTGMCTAAATTTAAAACTGTATTATATAAAGAAATTAATGGTTATTTCATGGTGTTATATTAGGTCCAATGGGTTGGGTTCAGCGGCAGATGACTCTCGGTATCAATCCAAGAGAAATACTCTCTTACATGATACCCCATGCTAAAGTGGTAAGTACGTGTATGAAGAAAGACATTTGAGTTACAGTACAGCTTTGCTTAACACTAAGTTTTCCAGATTCTAGACAATGTGTAGTTCCAGAAATAATCCATACCCCCCATGGAAGAATATTTTTAAAGACCCTTCTTCCTTGGAGATTCCAATTTTCATTCATACAAACTCTTTAATGTTGTTCTTTCTTTGACCCCCCCCCCCCCTACCCAGGTGCCGATACAGGATTTTCAAAAGTGGGGTGATTTTTTTCAATAAACAAGTGCAAAAGGCTGGAGCAATAATTATTGAGGTCCCTGCATAATCTCCCAGGAATTTTTGAATTTGAGACCCACAGAAATGCAAGTTTTAAAGCTTTTAAAGATATTAAAAGTTATTTTCTCTCATCAATCATTTCCCTTTTGCACATTTCCCCCCAAAAAACATACATTGTAACAGATAACAACTTAATTATGAAATTTGAAGACATAACTGCTCAGAGAAGGGGGTGAAAATTTACCTTTATTCACTCCCCCTGGATCCGCCCCTGCTAACCCTCAGAAGTTTAAAATTCCTCTGGGTGAAGGGGGGGGGGGATGGATAGTTTCTGGAACTACACATTGAACAGTAAGTCTATAAATCCAATGGCATATACATAAACCCTGCTAGCCTATGGACTAGTGGGTGTTAATTTTCACTAGCCTGGAGCAAAGACTTTCTAGTCCCTGACTAGTGGACCTGCATCAGTTGTTGGCATGTCATGTGTCATTATGTCATGTTCAACCGGATTTTCTCAACCTCATCCAATAATTGTTTAAGGTAAAGCAGTGATAATTCACACAATTTGGTAGACCTGACACTTGTAAGATGCGATAGAAATACTAATGGAAGGCATCTAATAATTAATGATTATAAATCCTATATTCTATGTCGGCAGTAAGATTGATTTTACTTGTATCAAAAGTGCAGAAAAAATTTTAATCTTTTTTTTTTCTCTGAAAAGTTAGTTACTGATGAAGCTTGAGCCAATCATCTGTTGTTTTTTTTGTTGTTTTTTTTAATTCTGTTTTGTTTCTCTAAATGATCAGCCAACAGAGATAGAAGATAGCCACTCAACGCTGTGGAAGATTATTATCAGCCTCCTTACATCACCAACACCTCGACAAAAACTAGATTATGTAAATACATTAGATGATGTCGTCAGTCTGGTGAATAGCTGCAAAAATATTGTGGTATTGACTGGAGCTGGGGTGAGTTATTCATACAGTATCTAGGATTTGCAGAAGTTTTTATTTAAGAGAGGCTGTCAGCAACGGTCGACCAAGTCGCGAAAAATAAAAAAAATCGAAAATTCTCAAACTCTGTCAGAAGATAGCATTTAGTGAACTAGTAACTGTAAAAATACTAAAACATTCATAGGATTTTTATTTTAGGCGAACGGTCGCATTTTCTGATTTAATGTTAATTAGCGTCCAGAAACAGGCTTCGACCATGGCTTCTTTAAAATTCTCTTAAAAATTCTACAAAATATAAAAGACAAAAGTAAAACTTTTCCAAGAATCAAATAATGTTTATCAGGATTTTTATAAGATTTTGTTGACATTGCTTTAAATTTGAATATTTTAAGGATTTT